ATATATAAAAATATATATACGCTCAAAAAGAAATGAAAGTTTTTTTTTTTTTTAGAAACAAAAAAAGTGAGCATATTAAAAAATTTTTATAATAAACTATGAAAGGGTAATTCAAGATAAAGCTTATGTCCTACGTGCAATATTCCTTAAGATGTTCTGGAAATCTTACTCGTCTTCCAGAACGCTTTGTTTTAGGTTTTACTATCGACGTTGACGAAGTATCAAGTTGTGTGTCGGTTGTCGTGTAGGATACTACGAGTGTAGTAGCTGTGTCGTTTGCTTGTACCGAAGGAAAATCGACGTAGCTAGGGTTTCCTTCTAGGTACGCAGCTTTGAGTCGATCGATACTGATGCTATCTTTCGTACCGTTCTTATCAACTACATAGTACTTAGGTTCGCGTTGAAGAACTTTGAAGGGTCCTTCGTATGCTGATTCGAGGGGTCGTCGATGTGAGTCTCGACGAACGAAGACGTGTGTACTATGTCGTAATTCGGGTTGAACGAAAACATCAGTTGATTGAGGTCGAGTGTTAGCAGGTTAAACTGAACGCATAGCGTTTGTAAGCCTATTCGTGTAAGAGTTTAGATTCATGTTCAATGAAGAAGCTGAAGGATCCACGAATTCTCCTGAGAGTCGGAGTGTCGTTCCGTAAACGAGTTGAGATACTGTGTATCCAATGTCAGCTTTCACTGCATTGCGGATACCTAGAAAGACTAGTGGAAGAGCGTCTGTCCACTGTGAAGCGTTTGAAGCTGATAATGAAGCTTTTAATTGTCGATGAAAACGTTCTACCAACCCGTTTGCTTATGGGTGGTAGGCGGTCGTTCGGAAGCGCGTGATTCCTAATAGTGTCGTCAGACAACGGAAAAGTCCAGATTCGAACTGGTGTCCGCGGTCTGTAGTGATGGTTGAAGGGCAGCCGAAATTTGCTACCCATCGTTCGACGAAAGAGCGGGCCACGGTTTCAGCAGTAATGTCCTTAATCGGTACTGCTTCTGGCCATCGAGTAAAACGGTCTACGCATGTTAGGAGATATGAGTATCCGTTCGAGTCGGGTAAGGGTCCTACCAAATCTAGATGGACGTGGTCGAAACGAGCGTCAGGGGTTTTGAAAGAACCTAAGGGACATTTGTTGTGTCTGATTACCTTAGATTTCTGACAGCTTACACAGGAGCGTGCGCACTCCCTCACGTCTTTATTCATACCAGGCCAACAAAAGCGTTCGGCTATAAGTTCGATTGTTGCACGAGCACCTGGATGAGAAAGATTGTGCAACGTATTAAAGACGTTGCGTCGATAATGTTTTGGTACAATTGGACGATCCCTACCTGTAGATGTGTCACAGAGTAAGGTTTCCTTACCTGTTCCCATCTGCCTAATACTTAGTTTAAGAGTTGTCGAGGATAACTCATGCTGAAGATCAATGCCTTCTCTTTGAAGCTGAGCGAGTTTAAGAAGGTCGATTCCTTGGAAACTGTTCAAGGAACTTATTCGAGACAAACCGTCTGCGACTACATTGTTAGCTCCAGAAATGTGTTGTATGCCTTAAGTAAACTTCGAAATGTAGTCGAGTTGTCGAGGCTCTCGCGGTGAGTACTTGTCTGAAGATGAACTTAAAGAGAAGGTAAGAGGTTTGTGATCGGTAAAAATCATGAATTCTCTTTCTTCGATGGAATGTTGGAAATGCCGTACAGCACAATACATAGCTAGGAGTTCCCTACCGAACGTGCTGTGCCCAGATTCCGCGTCTAGCAACCGTCTCGAGAAAAATCCTAAAGGTTGCCACGAGTTGTTAACCCATTGTTGTAAGACTGCTCCGATTGCTGAGTTGGATGCGTCTACGGCGATACTAATGGGCGCTTGAGTGTCCTGATGAGCAAGCAAGGTTGCTTTAGCGATGTGTTCCTTAATTGTGGAGAATGCTTTACGGGCTATGTCGTCTAAACTAATTGATTTCTCATTTCCACGAAGCTGATCGGTTAACGGTTTCATTAGGGATGCGCATTTAGGTATGAATCGTCTATAGAAACTTACAAGGCCGTTAAAAGTTCGTAACTGCTTGATGGTGGTCGGTTCTGTGTAATCCAGAATGGCCGCCACTTTGCTTCTAAGGGGTCGGATGCCTTGGGCATCAATAGTGTGTCCTAAGAAGTCTAAGGAGTTAGTTCCTATTTGGCATTTCTGAATGTTGACAGTAATGCCTTGCCTTTGGAGTCGATCGAAAACAATGTCCAGATGCTTGAGATGTGATTCTCTGTCCGGACTTGCTATTAGACAGTCATCAACATACGCATGTACGAAGTTGAAACCTCGGAAGACGTCGTCTATAAACCTTTGGAAGGTTTGAGCAGCATTTCTTAAACCAAAAGGCATTCGTAGAAATTCGTAAAGACCGAAGGGAGTGATGATGGCGGTTTTAGGAACGTCGTCAGGTGCCATCGGTATTTGGTTATAAGCTTTAACCAAGTCGATTTTTGAAAAGACAGTTGTACCTTTCAAGGTAGCTGTCAAATCGTGAATATGAGGCAATGGGTAACGATCGGGAATGGTTTTAGCATTCAGACGCCGATAATCACCAGTTGGCCGCCAATCGTTGCTGTCCTTTTAAGGGACCATGTGTAATGGGGATGACCATGAACTATTCGATGGTCGAATTATCCCTAAGTCTATCATATGGTCGAATTCGTTTTTGGCTAACTTAAGTGTTTCGGGAGCGAGTCGACGGGCTTTCGAGAATACAGGTGGTCCTGTAGTCGAGATGTGATGTGTAACATTGCTGGTTACACAAGGCAATTTCGATTGCGATTGGTATATCCCGGGGTATTTGTCGAGTACTGATTAGTACAATGGGTCTATGGCGTGCTTAATCGTGACTGGGGATAACCTGCAACCAGAACAAGGAGTTACACAAACAGATAACTTAGTGTTTCCGTCTATTAACCTTCGTGAGCGTGTGTCGATGAGTAGATTGTGGTATTGTAACAGATCTATACCAATGATTGGCATAGAGATATCTGCAACAACGGAAATCCAGTGTATGGGTTTGCGTAAACCCACGTTAAGGTGGACGTACCTTTTACTGTAAGTAGCGATCGGCTTTCCGTTTGCCGCCTGTCAACTTAAAACAGACTCGCGAGGTCTGTCGTCGGGATTTGCTGGAAGAACGCTAACTTCTGCGCCAGTGTCGACGAGGTAGCGAACTTTCGTAGTCACATCCGTGACATATAAGAGGTGGCTGTGTTCGCCGGCTACGGTTGCCGTTAACGCATGCCGGCTGGGAAGTTTCTCGAAATCTTATTCGTGTCAGTCGATTTGGAGGCCGGATAATTGCAGGGTTTCCTGCAATTTCTGAAAGACTTACAGCGGGGTTTTTGAATTACTATGGTCATTACGAACTCTAAGATGTCGTGTAAGCGTGTGACATAGTTCGGTTATGACAGCCGGGGTTGATTGAGGTTTTTCCTTGACGGAAAAAACCTCGGCCTTAGAAGATTTAGTGATTTCCAAGATTCGATCGGCAGATGCAGCTAGTTCATCTATGGCATTGTTTTGAAATGAAACAAGCACTGCCTGCACCTGTTGAGGGAGTTTAGACAAGAAAAGTTGTCTGAATAGGCCATCATCGAAAGTTCGTTGGTCAATGACTTCTCTCATTCTAAGCAACATGTCCGTCGCAGAACCATGTTGCAAGTCAATATTGTTAAGGAGTTGGTCTAACCGTTGTCGATCAGTTAGGTCTCCTCGTTTTAAAATCTATAGCTTAAGCGTTTCGTAAGGTTCTGGAACATCACTAGTAAACATACTAGGTGTTACGTACCTGTTAAACTCACGCGGCAACGCCTTAACTACCGCGAGGAATCGTGTGCGCGAGTCCGTGATTCCGTGCATGCAAAAATCAGCTTCTGCATAGCAGAACCAGGACTCGATATTGTCGGGCCAAAATGGCGTTAACTGAATCGAAATAGGGAGAATAGACTTAAACTGAAGAACCTTAGGAGAGTGTTCCGTCATAGTAATATAGATATCGAAAAATGTCTAATTAAAATATATCCGGGAAAAAAATTAGCGAAAAAAAGTATATCACAATATATAAAATTCAAATAAAGAATAACAATAATAATATTCCAAAATGGAACAAACTCACACTATATTGGCTTGGTGTACCTGATCACGTCAGGCTCACCACTGAGGATACTACGGATATTCTAGTTTGGCAACTAGCAACCAGTAGTATCTTCTATAATCGTTCTTTCCCAGTCGAATAGTAACCAGAAGTCAGACGAGGAGAGGTAGGAAAGATATATTTGATACGTTACCAATATATCGAGGAACCTTTACTATAAGCTGGCTAATGAACGTAGGAGCTGTGTCCCACGCCGTGTTGCAACGTGATCTGGTACGGATGCATGACCAAAAGCCTTCAGCTAAACAAGTCCACTTAAACAATGTGGTCAGCATCCAATGTCGAACACTTAATGAGCTATTGATTTTGGGAAATTATTTACAGCTACACAGTGATGTCCGCACCTTCAATTCAAGAGATAATTAGACACTCACAGAAGAGCAACAGGAAAGGAATAACATAGACAGTAGGCCGTTTTTTCTCACAACACAAATCTTAATCTGCTCAAAAAGATATTGGGTACTGCACACTCATAAATTCAAGGTCAGTCTGCGGCACCCTTGTCTTTTGTGCCATATATATGTCGGTTATGTCCTGTAAAGCATGTTATTGGAAAACTTGTTTATATCTGAATTTTTTTTATTTGTAAGACTGCATTGCACCTCGGTCTCTTCATTGTTTCGTTCTATATGATCTCTTATCAAGCCTGGTCATTCTGTTGAATTCGAGCTATCTGGAAAAACTAACACTTGTTCTTCTCTTTCAGATTTTTTACTACCTAGTTGGTAGTTGCTGTCTGAATACTTCACTCTTATTTTTCATACGACCTACTTGTTAATATAGCTTGGATTAAAAACTCGGAATTACATTAATAGGATGACGGGGACCGACGAGGAATTGAAAGAAGCTGCTGAAATGGATCACCATCATTTCGTCAAAACTTTATCAGCTTTCAGGTTTTTTGGGTATGATTTAATGCACATATTTCACAATTATATACAGTCCACACCTTCTTAAAAGAGTCGAACGCTCGAGAGCCTACTATTACTCATTACCTTCTACTCACCATAAACTTATTCGTGAATTTGATGATAACCTCAAAAAGGTTGAGAAATGCATTTCGCACAACAATGATCTAATAGCCAGCATTATTAAGCATTCCGCTCCAGACATTTTCAACGGAGAACATGTAGGTTGACTGATAAATCTTAACTTTATGTTATCAAGGCTTGTGAGTTGAATGGCACAGTTGGTTCACCGAACGGAACAGATCTAAATAACAATCACACAGTCGGTCCCCGGGAAAAAATTGGTCCTTTCGCATTTACAAATACAGAAATGGACAAAGTTCGATCAGCTTTAAAACAATTTGTCAGAGATTGGTCAGTTGAAGGAAAACCAGAACGGGACATATGTTATCAATTTGTACTTAATGATGTCTTAGAGCTATTTAACCCAAATAAAATGTAAGTTTGTAACCAACAATTATATTTTTAGTTATGATTTTAAGTAATTTTAAACTATCAAACCATGTAATTTTAAAGTGAAAGATTTGGATTTTATCTCAGTACAAAAGTCTGGTTAAGTATATTGATATGACCTTATTTTCACTAACTAAAGTTCACCCCAAATTTTTCAAGTTCTCTTTAATCGTCGGTGAACGTAGCTACTCGCAGAAATAGCTGTTAATTATGCTTGCTAGACATGTATAACGTAGTATTTAGAGCACTACTGAATAATTATAAATTTCTATTACATTCAAAGGCTGATAATCCTGTGTTGCTATATTTTTCAAGGTGAAACATTAGCAAAAAATGACAGGAGTAACCTAAACATTATCTCTAAACCATGCTGTTACGAAACATTTGACGTAAATCTACATCAAATCCATTAGCTAATAAGATGGGTTAAACCTGTGTCATTAGTAAGTCGACATATCCTGCACTGTCCCAATAGGATATAATGGAGTCCACACCCATTTTACTAGCCAACTGTCTTAGTGACCATCTTACTTGCTTTATTTCTTACCATCACTGCTGGTATTTTCAGCGTCGAAGATTGAGTCATGTGTACAGTGGATTTTGTTGTTTATTGTTAACTGCCCAGGTTTTTTGGCTGTCTTGGTTGGTCTTTAACGTTTTCAAGTTACAAATACAGCGTGGTTGAGTGGATTTTTTTTACATGTAGTGCTTATTTACTAACTAGTTTCTCTCGGTTTACCCAATTTTCTTACTAGACCTATCATTCTACCTGCGGGATTAGTGAACAAAATTCAACATGGTTATTTTTCGTTGTAAATGGGAATTTTCCATACTGTTTCTATTGTTTTAGAAATCCTGCAAATGTGAACATCCTAGTCCCAGGGGCTGGCCTTGGTCGACTGGCCTGGGAACTCGCTCATCTTGGCTACACATGCCAAGGAAATGAATGGAGCTTGTACATGCTTATTCCAGCTTATTTCATCCTAAACACGTATGTTGTTAAACATATATTTATTTTGTTCAGCATTATTTTCATAATTTATTGCCAAATAACATCTCACAGTCGAGTGTATGAGGTAGTATAAGGTTGGTCAGTTTAAATGTTTCTTAGTAAATGTAGTGACACTTGTTATAATTGTAGAACCTGATGAGAAATTGTTGAAAAGAATATTCTTCGTTCATGTAATTGTATTTTAATATGATGGGAATTTTTCAGCAATTTGAATGTTCTCGTAAAATTCTGACCTCATTATTGTTTTATCAAAAAAGTTGGTGAGACCATGTTATACCTTGAGTGTGAAGCCTATGTACGCCATTGGTTTGGAATGAGGGTTTTCCAACTTCACTAGGTGGACACGCTGTGTCCCCCAACCCCGTTAAAGCACCGGACATTCGCTTTTCGTCCTCTCACTTTCGTGAACAACACCCCATTGACGAGAAAGCAGTGAGTAGGACTTCCCTGACAGAGGCTATATACGTGTGGCCATGTGAGAGCATTTGGAGAGGGAGAACGGACTCTCCCCACTCTCGGTTTAGCGGATATGACAGTTACCATCTCAACTATCTTGGTATTTGGCTTGATAATTTCATTTCATTGTACTGGTAAATAGTGGGGCAACTCAAAGCGATACACATATGTGCCAAGTACCACGTTGCATATAACTGATTAACTGACCGACTACCTCTGGTTTCATATTGTCTGCGAATTACTGAGTGGTGGCGAAATCTTCGTATTCGCAAAGTTTCATTTTGATTTTCCTACATTTTCAGATGTAAACAAGTTAATGAGTACAAATTATATCCGTGGATCGGTCAATTTTGTAATAATATGTCACGTGAAGATCAAATGGCCCCGGTCTATTTCCCTGATGTATGTCCAGCAGATTTACCTGCTAACGTCCAATTTTCTATGGCAGCTGGAGATTTCGTTGAAATTTATACTGAGCCAAGTATGTGTTCTTGTGTGTCTGTGTATATTTGTACATGAAATCGCTCTAATTATAACCGTCCTCCTTTTACAAATGTAAACAAAATAAAGAACGACACTGATGCCAGAGTACGATAAATTCATTGTAGTTCGTTGCTTTCCCTTCGGTTACATACAAGTTGATATGCTTAGTTATTTCGAATTACCAATATGGTTTACCAAATAGCTCAAAACCTAGGTCCAGGGGTTCCTGTCAAACACCTCCAACCACCATCCCATTTCAATATAGTGTTGGGGTGGCTTCTGAGAACTACGACAGAGCCTCTAGAGGCCCTAGAAGAGTCTCATCTAATCAGAACGCAACAGAACTTTCTAGAATGTCAACGTGGCGTGCTACTATTGGTCAAGTAGCATAACATTCCTCATTGCGGATTTCTTGGATTATAATGTTGATATGACAAATGCTAATATCTATAAATACCCATCATTTTCTGTACATGTTGATTGTTTAACAAGGACTTTCTTCAGTCTTCCGTCTTCTCATTTGTGACTTGGAGGGTTCTACCGTTCGAGTGCTCAAGTTATACGCGGTACATTAAAAATCCAAGCTTTAGATATAACGTATAGTTCACGCAATGTAAAGTAGTAACCACATTGCAAATTGGTTGGTAGGATTCGATCTGCACTAGGAATGACCTGACACACAAAAATTCATTTTATTTATTTGAACACATGAATATTGGTACAAAGGGCACTGAATACATATGCGCCACACAACTCACTCGCTTTGTGAGTGGGTCGGGATATTGTCCGGGTGTTCAGATCGAAGCAGGTGGTTTCCTTAGAGAGCCACTCACCAAATCTTTGACTTAAAAGTCTAATCCACAATGCAGTGGAGCAATGTTAGGAGATGCAGTCACACGGTAGCCGGTAACCAACAATAAGTCCAAATGCCATTTGTTCCATCAGGGTACTGGAGCCCATGTACATCATTGGTTTGGAATGAGAGTTTCCTAACTCCCGTAGGTGAACCCTCCATGTTCACCAACCCGGTTAAAATGCCGGACATCCGATTTTCGTCCTCTCAATTTCCTAAAAAACACCCGTGGTGCGAGAAGGCAGTGAGTAGAACTTCCTTGACAGTCGCTGTATACGTGAGAGCATTTCGAGAGCTGACTCTCCCCACCCTCGACCGTACCAAGGCGCAGCACTGATAAATTGGGTTTCATAAAAAGAGCAGCATTTCTCAGAATCAGTCAACATCACACACATAGTCTTAGTCTTTTGAACTGAAGTCACCCTAGTTTTGAATTATTTTATTTAATTATTTATTTAAACACATATATATTGGTACAAAAGGGCACCAGGTACATATGCGCCACACCTTTTTTGTGTGTGGGCTGTGATACTGCCCGGGTGCCCAAACCGAAGCAGGTAGTTTTCTTAGGGGGCCATACCCCGAGCCTTTGACCAAAAGGCCTGATCCACAAGGCAATGGAGCATCGTGAGGAGATGCAGTCCCATGGTAGCCGTTGACCAATGACAGGTTCGTCCGCCATTCGTTCCATCAGGATACTGGATCCCATGTGCACCATTGGTTTGAAATGAGGGTTTTCCAACTTCCCTAGGTGGACTTTCCGTGTCCACCAACCCGGTTAAAGCGTCAGACATTCGCTTTTCGTCCTCTCACTTTCGTGAACAACACCCCATTGACGAGAAAGCAGTGAGTAGGACTTCCCTGACAGAGGCTATATACGTGTGGCCATGTGAGAGCATTTGGAGAGGGAGAGCGGACTCTCCCCACTCTCGGCCGTACCAGGGCATTTGGGGGCCAGTTTTGAATTACTTAACGAACATTATGTTTCTCAGTCAGTAAATGAAGTCTTTTTAAGCCATATTATTATGAGAAAACTTTATTCTATTCATTCTTTGCACTCCATTCTGAAATCATTAATGCCTATTGGTTTTGTACCTATTTTTAAATTTAAATGCAGATACATGGGATTGTATAGCTACTGTGTTTTTTATTGACACAGCACATAATATTCTTAATTATTTGGATACAATTTGGCTCATACTTAAACCTGGTGGTTATTGGATCAATTTTGGTATGTATAAATTAGTCCTAAAATAAATCCGTCTTGTGGTCTTCATATTTTCTTTTTGTTTCTTACTAAACATCAAATCCTTCACTAGGTTACTTCTTTACATATATACTCACTTACTGGATATACAGGTTTATGTACTCATTTGGCTTTTAATGAGACTTCTGTTCGTTTGAAAGCCTAGTGATTCTGTTCAACTCCCTCTTAAAATTTCATAGGTACGTCATGGTACAGGCCTGAGACATGATGGTTGGTTAATCGAGTTATTATTTTACCGATTGTTATTATTTTTTAGTCCCCGTTTTGTGATTATTGAAGTTTAACCGGTAGTCTAAGTGACCTAATATCGTGGTTTGTGTTATTTTTTTTGTTACTGAATGGTTAGAGGCAATCAAAACAAAAAGGTTTTGAATAATCCACATTTCATCCTGAATCATCTTTTTTGTAAAGTTTACTAGTCAGAAATACCTGTTATTTTGATATCCAGCCTGTCATTAGGAAAATGTAGAACCTGGTGCAGGTAGTCGTCAGCCATATTTGCTATTTTTCTTTTCAGCACAGTGATAAGGAACCACTAACATTTTAAGTGTAGGAGAATGAATGATTATATCAGTTATAATAAAAATACAGAAATATAGTTGTCAAATAATGAATGGGGTTGATGACTGAAAGTTGGTTATAGAATGATACTAGATTCAACGTTAAGAATTGCATAAACGGTGAAGTGTACGTGTGCCATTGGGGAAACCCATCCTAAATCATTCTATTGAAAATTTGTAACTCGTGATTTACAGTTGTGGTGCACATAGATCTCAGACCGGGAGTGAATAACCTCTTCTAATATGTGCAACATTACAATTCGGGTTTGGTTATGACTGATCGTACGTAATGTGTCCTAATCACTTCAGTTGTTGAAGCTCCACAGGTGATTTCCCCCCTTTTCTGAGTAACTTACCTAGATAAGCAACTCAGCTAAACAAATATTCTATTGACTTGAATATATGAGAATAGCAAAGTAGACTGTAAGAATTGTATACCTTATTAATCGATTGTAAGTCGATTAAACTCTAAGTCATTTTCTGTTATGCTATCCTTCAACGAAATATTCGTATACTTGGCTATATATATCGTTTTATATATATAGTTCAAATAATGTTTACCGATGTGAGTTCTATTTGCTGAAAACCGGATAGTACCATTATCTTTCACACTTCAAGTGTGGTTCATACTCAAGTACTTGGTGAATAAACTTTTCTATATGTTGATCGTCATTGATTATCACCATTGCATCCATCTGAAAAGTTACAAATAAAAAGAAATTTCTCGTTCTCTGAATTTCACTACTAATTACAAGCATTATCAAGGCACTTAACCAAGGTTAGTTTGTATGTCAACTAAAAGTAATTAAATTTAGTTCTGAATACTAACGACAGAAAAATATAAACTCTTACTAATAAAGCACAGGCTAATGTACTCAGCCAGATTTGCAGGTTGCATTTGTTACAAAATGATGTCAGCTGTAGTTTCTTTTAAAGCCACGAAACATTGAAAACATATTTCGTCTCAGTAACGAGATTCCTCAGTAGTCCCCGTCTACAATTCCTTCACTGATTAAATCCAAAACCTTCAGGCTTAGCAGAAAATCCCCAATCATTAGAACTACTGGATTGTCCAGTTACATTGGGTGATCATCACTTTATTTCACACATTGATTGCACTCTGGAACATACAATTACACGCTTACCCATTGGTTCTATTGGCTAGAGATTTGCCGCGTGACGTAAAGGTCTTGAATTCAACTGTGTGTCTGATCGCAAGTTCACACGCGTGAGTATTTTCATACTAAAATAAAACATCTGTTTTATGTCTCGTGGTTTTCAGTGATCCCCCAACTGCGACCAATCTGTGATAAATACAATCTATAAGTTAAACCAATCCTCATAAAACCTGTCTAATCAAAATTTAAGCTAGATTATTTGTAATAAGGACTAGTGACATTGATAAAGTTATTTGAACTTTGCTATTTTTGAAGAGATTACGAGATCACCTAAAATCTGCGAACGGAACGAAGGATCAGCAACACAACAACGAGACAAGCTAAACTATTCACTGCTCCCTAGCCCTGATAACTAGGAGGAAAAGACCGGAAAAAAGTATATTCCACAAGCAGTTGAAAGCACAAACGAACAGGCACACAACTCAAGCGCGTATATACAGTATAAAAATGTCCTTGGGAAACGTTACGAAATAGCGTATTAAGTTATTATTATTTAAACACATAAATATTGGTACAAAGAAGCACCAGATAGATATGCGCCACACAAATCTCATTTGATTTGTGTGACGGCTGTGATACTGCTCAGGTGCCCAAATGGAGCAGGTGGTTTTCTTAGGGGGCCACACCCGGAACCTTTGACCTGAAGGTCTGATCCTCAAGGCGGTGGAGCATCGTAAGGAGATGCAGGCTCCTGGATCCCATGTGCACCATTGGTTTGAAATGAGGGTTTTCCAACTTCCCTAGGTGGACTTTCTGTGTCCACCAACCCGGTTAAAGCGTCAGACATTCGCTTTTCGTCCTCTCACTTTCGTGAACAACACCCCATTGACGAGAAAGCAGTGAGTAGGACTTCCCTGACAGAGGCTATATACGTGTGGCCATGTGAGAGCATTTGGAGAGGGAGAGCGGACTCTCCCCACTCTCGGCCGTACCAGGGCATTTTGGGGGCCCTCAAGAAGTAGTTTAAAGCTAATGTTTTCGAACCTATAATTTACGTGCTGAAAACTAAGCTTCTTAACTATTAAATGATTTCCTCTTTGTATATGCTAATAATAATGAATATTCTTAACAGTTTATCAGTATTTATACAACTTTTTATTTCTGTGTTTTTATATAATATGAGTATCATTTTGTATTTTAGGTCCATTATTATATCATTTCTCTGATATACCTGGTGAAGATTCTTTAGAATTAAGTTATACAGAACTTCGTTTAGCTATTAAACGATTAGGTTTCGAGATTGTGGTAAGATATAATTCAGTTTTATAATGATATAGTAGTTAATTATAACCAGGTTATTGGTGTTTTGATATTTTTTCGATCGATATTTGTATGTAACTATTTATTTATTTATTTAAACACATATATAATGGTACAAAAGGGCACCAGGTACATATGCGCCACACAAAATAATGAAAGTAGGAAGAGAAGGGATGAAAAGATAAGGCGAACTGAAATGTACAACCAGAAGAACTCTCTCAGTTAAGAAAGTTATAACCACTCTTTATGTAGAAAGTAAAAGAAGGTTGCAGCAGGCTCGCCACTGGCTTCTATTCTGAGCCATATCTGATAACGTCTCTAGCCACTGTGTTGCACCATCTCTCGGACCCCAGCCAGGGAGTCGTGAAGGTCCAACAGAAGCTAGCCCTTTGTAGCTTTCTTTCATGCCACGACACCATGTCATACACTGACCACATCTCTTCGCTTTTTCCAACCAGTCCCAGGGTCGGCAAATAATGCACGACGTGGAATTCTCTGGGACGACATTTGTAGAACATGTCCAAGCCACCGAAGTTGGTGTTTCAAGATGGTGACACCAATTGAATTATCGTCTCTGCGCCCGAACACACGATGCCGAACCTCTGCATTACTAACATGGTGTTGCCACTGGATGTCAGCAATCCTTCGGAGACAACGATGATCGAACACAGAGAGTCGTCTAACATTGTCAACTCGGAGAGGCCAGGTTTCACAGGCATAGAGCAAAACTGCTTTCACCGACGCGTTGTAGATCCGACCTTTTACAGCCAGACTAACATCACGAAGGCGCCAAAGATGGCCCAGATTGGCATAAGCCGCTCTGGCTTTCATTATACGTGCATCAATCTCATCACTCACGCCACCACCAGCACTTATATAGCTACCTAGATACACAAACTTCTCAACTACTTCGATCTCCTCGCCATCCAGAGTAAGTACAGGATGAGAATCCTGCCAGTCTTGTAGGAGTACTTTACACTTGGAGGGTGCAAAGCACATGCCGTACCTGCGGACACTGATTGCCAACTGATTAAATGCTGATTGCATGCCTTGGGCATTATCGCACAGTAAGACAATATCATCCGCATACTCAAGGTCGAGAAGTCGTTCTCCAGGCAACATATCCACACCTCCATTACTTACATCCATCAGAGCTGTTTCCAGGATGTCATCGATGACAAAGTTGAAGAGGAATGGTGAGATCGGGCAACCCTGCCTAACCCCACTGCTCGAATGGAACAAGGGAGAAAGGTGGTTGTATGCCCTCACTCTGCCTGAGGTGTTCGTATACAGAGCCTTTAAAATGTTAATGAACTTCTCAGGCACACCCTTCTTCAATAGACAATCCCAGAGAACAGTCCTGTCCAACTAATCGAAGGCAGTCCTGATATCAAGAAACACTAGGATTGTTGGCCTGCGATAAGTATGATGGTGTTCTAACATTTGGCGGAAGGTGAAGATGTGATCAATGCATCCTCGACCAAAACGAAAACCAGCCTGCTCCTCGCGAGTCAATCGTTCTCGGGTTTTAAACAACCTACGAAGAATGATAGAAGCCAATAGTTTGGACGCAATCGACAGTAGACTTATCCCCCGATAGTTGTTACAGGAACAACGTGAACCCTTTTTAAAGATAGGGACGACTATTGACTCATTCCATGATGTTGGAACACTTTCTTGCTCCCATACCTTTCCAAACAACACAGTCAATTCCTTAGTCAGAAAGTCACCACCATCTTTAAAAAGAGCCGGAGGTAAGTCATCTGGGCCCGGTGATTTGTAACGTTTCAAGAGTTGGAGTTCCTTGCGGACTTCCGCCTCGTTTGGTGGATCAGTCGTCACCGGCCATGGGGGGCAGGATAAGCTGGTTGATGTTGCCGGAGCAGCAGGCCAGTTGAACTGCCCTTCGAAGAATTCCGCCCATCGTCCAAGACGTCGAGAGATATTAGTGATTGGCATCCCATCATCCTCGTTGGTGGTGGTCAATCCTTCGGCCACTGAAAAGTAAGGTGAGATTGGCGCAGACCAGGGCATGATCAGACTCCAGATAGGTACTCCAAAAGGAGCGGCAGTCTTGTACACAACCACGCCAGCGGTAGCTGATCGCGATGTGATCAATCTGAGTCCAGGCTTGGGATGCAGAGGGAGGACGCCAGGTGGCACACCGGCGATGACTGTGCCGGTAGTTAGTGCTGGCCAGAAACAGGTTGTGGTCTGTGCACAGTTGCAGCAAACGGTCCCCGTTATCTGTCCTGCGACCAACAAGTCCCCATCGGCCACCTAAACGACTCTCTTCTGTGCCTGGACGCCCGACCTGTGCATTCAAGTCTCCGGCTAATACTACAATATCTGTCGAACGCGCTTTCTGGAGAAGAACTGTTAAGTGGTGGTAAAACTCATCCTTGATTGCATCCGGGCTGCAATCTGTCGGGGCACAGGCGGAGATGACGAAAAGACACCGTTTCTCACGCTGGTTTCTTCTCACTTTGATGGAACTTTCTAATCTAACAGCACATAACCGACTGTTAATGGGGATCCAATCGATTAGTGCTGCCTCAGCCCTAGCGCTTAGTGCGACACCAACGCCAGCAAGACCAGACGAAGATGCCACAGGGTCCCCGGATAAGCGCACGTGGAACAAGCTTTTCGAGGCGACAGATGGAGAGCGGATTTGTAGTACTTCACTAGAGTCTTAAATACGGATCTCGGATAGACAACAAACATCAACATTAAGACCTTCCGAAGACATAGCCAGCCCTATCTGTTGTCTGATCTGCATTAGTGTGCGAACGTTGAAGGAAGCCAGCTTGAACGGCGTACGTGGTTTCAGAAAGACTGCTTCAGTATTCATTATCGGTGGAAGCATTCACTTTCAACCAGACAGTGACTGGAGATCGTTTAGATAGGACAGATTTTCCACCATGGGCGAGCTGCTGCATAAGTTGAAAAGTAAGGTTACACAAATTGGGGATAAAAGGGGGTGAGTTAGCGATATGGTAAATAATAATAATAATGTAAATTGTCTTGCTTTTAGTATGAGCAGGGATATTATCGTCAATAGAGTTCATCATTTCATTCATTTGTGTGTGGGCTGTGATACTGCCCGGGTGCCCAAACCGAAGCAGGATGTAACTATTTATTATAATTCAATTGGTGTCACCATCTTGAAACACCGACTTCGGTGGCTTGGACATGTTCTACAAATGTCGTCCCAGAGAATTCCACGTCGTGCATTATTTGCCGACTGTGGGACTGGTTGGAAAAAGCGAAGAGATGTGGTCAGTGTATGACATGGTGTCGTGGCATGAAAGAAAGCTACAAAGGGCTAGCTTCTGTTGGACCTTCACGACTCCCTGGCTGGGGTCCGAGAGATGGTGCAACACAGTGGCTAGAGACGTTATCAGATATGGCTCAGAATAGAAGCCAGTGGCGAGCCTGCTGCAACCTTCTTTTACTTTCTACATAAAGAGTGGTTATAACTTTCTTAACTGAGAGAGTTCTTCTGATTGTGCATTTCAGTTCCCCCATCATTACTGTTCTCTTTTTTTCCTTCTTTTACATATACGCATCTTCTCCCATTCTCATTATTTTGTGTGGCGCATATGTATCTGGTGCCCTTTGTACCAATATTTATGTGCTTAAATAAATATTATGTTTGCCATAGTTTACATCGGTGACTAACTATTTAGACAGCCGCTGCAAAGCAGGAAATACTGGACAGTTGTTTCGTTCAAGTATGGAATTCCTCAGCAGTGAAAATCCATGATCGTGTGAGGAATCGAACCCAAAACTGTTATACCTTAATTTAAGCGCTTAACCTGAAAGTAACCGTATAAACCATTGGATGATAACTTAGTGGTCTGGAGATGAATTGCTCTCCTTCCTGGTATTATAATCCTGGGTTCGATCCCTAGAGAAGTGACTATCCAATGCCATCTAGTTTCTCATGGTTGCCTAATATCAGTCGGTGATATAAAATTACAATATTCTACAATCTCCACAACCATCCTGTAATAATATTCATTATATGTAGAATATTTTTGTGAAATATGGAAGTTAGTTCGTCGGAACAAGAAGTTGACAGTCCGTCGCCAAATTCACTTGGTCTTAATTTCTAATGGCAATCAAATGAGCGAAAATATATCATTACTGGATAACTTCTGGAGTGTTGGTCACTTCCACATTTGCGCACTGTGTCACGTCACAATCAGACATTTATACACCAGTTCTCTATTTACGCTTAGTAATCTCATTTCTCAGTTAAACTATTTCATTACTTCTACCTCAAAGCGACACGAATAAGTACCTTTCTACTTTGTCTTGATGAACTGGGCGGCTTAAAATCGATTCGGATAACTCTCTCAGTTTACCTTCACTTTTCTATAACCCCCTGAATAATCTCAAAAAGATAAATTTCACAAGAAAGATTTATTGATACCGACCAAAGAAAAACGATTAAAAATGTATAGCAAATGGGCATGAGAATACAAAGACATTAAAAATAGGATACAAAACTAGCACATTTGGTCAGTAACTTGCTGGTGGAGGTCATTTTTCTAAGCTCAATAAAAACGCATAATGACTGTTGTGAAGAGTTTCAGATCGAAAAAAAAAGAAAACTTTCAAGTTTACGGAATTATAAGTAAATGTTAAGCAAGCAGTTTTTTCAGAGAATTAACATTCTGAACAAATTTATAGACCAGAAGGGGTTTTTGTAGATATTTCAGTATTTTCATAGTTGAAATCATGAGTCAATTGAAGCTAGACCACCATGGAAAACCTGGAAGCACTAGACGGCCGTTCCGTCCTGTTATGAGACTCCTCAGCAGTGCGCATTCACGATCCCACACCCACGAGATTCGAACCCAGGACCTACCAGTGAAGCTGGTGTGGGTGCGGGATCATGGATGCGCACTGCTGAGGAGTCCCATAACAGGACGAAACGGCCGTCTAGTGCTTCCAGGTTTTCCATGGTGGTCTAGCTTCAATTGACTCATGTTTTCAACTATGAAAATTTATAGACACCTGTTTGACGCCTGGGTAACTTTTATTGAAACATTGGTATATTATTTGTCCGACTAAAGATTAGTAACGTTATATCCTTAACAAATTAGCAATTGGATCAGTGGTTTAGTGGTTATAAGTCAACCAGCGGGGTTTCAACAGGTAGGTAGTTCGTACATTCGGATATTATAGCTCTATTTGTCTCGGTTTTAGGAGACTTGTAGTATCACTAACCATTCCAGAAGCTGTGTCACCTTATGCTGAGTACACAAACTCAGTATTAAGTTAGTTAGTCGAATGTAAATACACAAAATGTGATAAAATCTGTATGCTTGATTGAATATGAGATAAGTTGATTTGGGTCTCTCTTCAGAGATTTAATATACAATAGCTGACAATGTTTGTTTATTGATAACCTTAATACAATGGTATCATATTTTATAAAAGTCGTCCGAATATCATACAGCATGTACGTAGCATCAGTTAGTACCTATTGTATCTTTTTGAAAAGAGTTCTGCTCCTATCCATTCTACAAATGTAACTTCTGTAAAAAGAAACCAATAATTCACTTAGTATTACTTGTTTGAATCTTCCCATTGATGTTCAGGACTGCAACTGGTCAGTCTCTTATTGGCATATGTTCATACTGTGTGTATTGCCTCGATATAGCCTTATTTCACAAGCATTGTAAGCAAAGATGGATAGTGGCTAGCAGTGGAATCCAGTTTGACGCGCGTTTCGTCCTATTTGGGACTCGTCAACTGGATGTACTTGTATCTCAGAGTTGATGTTCACTGTAGGACTCGAACCTAGTTTCTTTCGCTTCAAACGCGCGTCCTGGATTCCACTGCTAGCCACTATCCATCTTTGTTTACGAAACCGATAATGTTTATTCTGTTTTGGAAATCATACTTAATTCATCTCTTTCCCATTATTTTTTTTATTGCTTTAATACGAAATTCAGCGAGAAAAATCTGACATTCAATGTGGTTACACACAAAATCCATCGTCAATGCTTTCATACAATTATAATTGTGTTTATGGTTTGTTTCGGAAACCGCTAACAACAACAACAATATCACCGACAACTGAAGCTACAGTAACAAAACTTATGTCAACATTGAATACCACCACACCATCTACAACTGATGATATGGAATAATCAAAATACATATATATATTTCATTGAATAGTAATGACACCATCTTTGTGTACAAAATCTGCCAATCAGCATTCTTGACGATGATTTCAATGTATTCAAGATGTGGCAACCAACTTTATTTTTTAGGTTTCTAACTTTGCATTATCATTTGATCCAGTTTATGCATTATTTTTTTTACATAAGTATTTAACGTTCAATACAACGATGAAAAATAAGTTGTCGTGTCTTTTGAATTATTTAAACTACCATGTACTTTGTACGTACGAAGTTCTACGTTGTGACTGACTGACTGATGTACTTGGACGACGATATATCAATAATCTTTCATCCATCTATTTAAATTATAAAGTGTTATAATTGTTTCTCGTTTCACCAAATTAAGACACTGGTAGCAAATACTAAACAATGAGGAAGACTCACCGAATATTTCTGGCAGCTGAAATACTGTCTCCTCGAAACTGAGCTCTCGAGGTAACTTTGGTAATATATGATTAGCATAGCGTACATGTTCATGACTTCCCAACTTGCGCATCAACAGTGGAGTCTTCCATGCATCATCTTGTTTTACAGAACTCTATTCTAAATGTATCTTCCCAATGCTTGAACCAAGTGAGAAATGTATTTCCACATTTGGGGTCATAATAGAATTCTGGAATGCTGCTGGCAACTGCATCACAAGAAGTACTTGTAGTAGCATGTGAACTCGAGCAGTGAATGTTAAGCTGTTGCGTCAGAGTTTCTAACTAGCGCATTTGTGGATCAAGTTGTGCTTGCTGTTGTTGCAGTATTCGGTTGAGCTGGTCGTCTGATATCGGCCTTTTTGAATGAATTTTCCCTTCTCTCCGTCGCCACTATAATTGTTTTGCTAATCAACGACCCAGCTACTCCTATTCTTATACGATGACAAGCGACAAGACCGCAAATCAGAACACGGTTAAACAGGAACGAAATTGTATTCAAAACAGCAAGGGTAGGTAAACAGCAATCAATGGTTAGAAAAACGTTCGTATATTTATAGTATATGAATAATAAGCTTCTAGATATTTTTCAAATAATTTGCCAGATCTGGTCGAGTAGGTGTGCTTGTGTGGTGGAACTCACTGGGTGGTGTCTGTATGTGAATGATGGGTTTGTTGGTGGTCATTTCAAAATCGGCCGCGACCGCCGGGAGTCGAACCCGGATCGACTGCTTGGAAGGCAGCCATGATCACCATTACTTTTATATCTAGAAGTTAGATTATGAGTATGCCACGTATAACTTGAGCACTTGAACGCTAGAACCATCTCAAGTTGCGAATAAAAAGTGGAAGAAATTTCATTCCAAACAGTGTTAATTATGGTACAAAACTCAGGTATTTATAATTTTTAGTAAAAAGAAAACAATTGTTAGAGTTATCCAGTCCGCACACAGGGTGTTATTAGCATTTGTCCAATAAGGAAACCACACTTAGAGATTTTGGAATATTCTTCCAAAAGATGATATAATGAAATATGTGCAGCTCTTTAAGAGCTTCCTCAAATTCATCCGTGGACCGTCCCAACACCTCCCCCCTCTAAAATGTGTCGTGTGAGACTTTATTCGGATCCGCATGAAACTTGGTGACCGCATTCCTCTTGCGGTTCATGACTCTCAAGGGTTGAACCGATTCGCCCTTGTGTCATTTATCTCCAAAATTTGCGCCTTCGAGGGCTCTTTCATGATGAATGAACGAGCGATTGAAAAGGCAGTTGGCTTTAAATGACGAAAGTTCGGCCATCACTTTGAACTTCGTTTACGTCTATTGTAAAAATCCGACATTTCTCCAGATGACGTAAATTACAATACTGATACCACTTAACATAAAAAATGACGGGGTATTACTGGATCAGCAATGAAACAATCAGTCGGTTCTATCCTCACCTGTCTTACACACTGGTTCGTGTGTACTGCTCCACATGTGTCCTGGTGTGACTTTGTGTGTAGTACACACGTTGTCCCCTAATCCACACACAATCGCCTCATCATCGTGTGTGCATACATGCTTGCAAACATGATTGTGCACGTGATCGACCCATTCACTGAACGACACTCATAATCCTGTCTGTTGACTCGGGTCAATCGCGATCCACACGTCAGTCTGTTCGTCTCATGAAATATCGTTTCGATTGCCGTGAACTTGTCGATCCGAGAGAAAATGTCTCGTTTGCAGGCACATTCAACGTGCTTGTGTGATTGGATGGGAGAGGATGAGAGAGCACACACGCGAGTGTGATGGGGAGGGAATGAATGAAGGAATTAGTGTTTGTTTCCATCTGAGATTGTGATGTGACATGTGGTTGTTTCTGAGTGAATACACGGTGTTCGGTCAAATATGAGGTTGTGAGTCGATGTGGTTGTTTGTGTAGGTGTCGGAGGAGGGTGAGAGTGAGGGTGAGGTAGAGGTAGAGGAGGAGTGGTAGTAGTATTAGTAGTAGGAGGAGGAGGATTATGAGGAGAGGAGTTGATGACTGAGTAGATGATTTTGAGAGAATCATAATGAAGCTTGATTGACGCATCAGTTGGTTGATCTGTCGGAGTGGTTAGATGAACGTGTGTTTATGCTGTGACACGAGTCGGCCACACTGGTGTGTCGTGGCGTCTCGGACAGTGGATGTTGAGATGTGGAGACAATGATGGCGGGTTGTTTTTCTGTCCCAACTACGTGGGAGGACAGTGAGTTGGCGAGGGTGTGGTCGAGTAGGTGTGCGTGTGTGGTGGAACACACTGGGTGGTGTCTGTATGTGAATGACGGGTTTGTTGGTGGTCATTTCAAAATCGCCTGCGACCGCCGGGAGTCGTACCCGGATCAACTGCTTGGAAGGCAGCCATGATAACCGCTACACCACGGTCGCGACTCTTAACACACCTCACACTCGTTCCGCAACAACAAACACGCACTCACAAACAAACGGACACACACTGTCTCACTCACTCACGCACTCACTCACTCTCTGTCACGCACGCACGCACGCACCACATCATTCACTCAGAAAACAATTGCCAACCCTACCTCTCCAACTGTGTACAGTCATCTCCGACTGTTTCGAACTAACTACCCCACTGCACGGATAGACACCACCACCTACAACGTGCCAATATCGGCAATATCGTCAACACTCTCCACTATGTGTCCAGTTGAAATGCACCACATCACAACATTGCCTGACCAAACTACACAAAGCACAATGTTCTCATGCACTCTCTCCATCGACACCAACACGTGAATTATCCGATGAGAGGAATTGTATTGGACGAGCAATCGAGGTGAAAATATCTACACATGGATGTCACAATAATCGGCAAGACATGTGAGTTGATGATCGGATGGAAACTCTCTGTTCATCTATTGCATCGTGAACAAGGCACAGTATCGAATTGAGAAGCACAATCACCATCGTTGTGAGCAATGACACAATCAGTCGGTTCTATCCTCACCTGTCTTACACACTGGTTCGTGTGTACTGCTCCACATGTGTCCTGGTGTGACTTTGTGTGTAGTACACACGTTGTCCCCTAATCCACACACAATCGCCTCATCATCGTGTGTGCATACATGCTTGCAAACATGATTGTGCACGTGATCGACCCATTCACTGAACGACACTCATAATCCTGTCTGTTGACTCGGGTCAATCGCGATCCACACGTCAGTCTGTTCGTCTCATGAAATATCGTTTCGATTGCCGTGAACTTGTCGATCCGAGAGAAAATGTCTCGTTTGCAGGCACATTCAACGTGCTTGTGTGATTGGATGGGAGAGGATGAGAGAGCACACACGCGAGTGTGATGGGGAGGGAATGAATGAAGGAATTAGTGTTTGTTTCCATCTGAGATTGTGATGTGACATGTGGTTGTTTCTGAGTGAATACACGGTGTTCGGTCAAATATGAGGTTGTGAGTCGATGTGGTTGTTTGTGTAGGTGTCGGAGGAGGGTGAGGGTGAGGGTGAGGTAGAGATAGAGGAGGAGTGGTAGTAGTAGTAGTAGTAGTAGTAGTAGTAGTAGTAGTAGTAGTAGTGGTAGGAGGAGGAGGATTATGAGGAGAGGAGTTGATGACTGAGTAGATGATTTTGAGAGAATCATAATGAAGCTTGATTGACGCATCAGTTGGTTGATCTGTCGGAGTGGTTAGATGAACGTGTGTTTATGCTGTGACACGAGTCGGCCACACTGGTGTGTCGTGGCGTCTCGGACAGTGGATGTTGAGATGTGGAGACAATGATGGCGGGTTGTTTTTCTGTCCCAACTACGTGGGAGGACAGTGAGTTGGCGAGGGTGTGGTCGAGTAGGTGTGCGTGTGTGGTGGAACTCACTGGGTGGTGTCTGTATGTGAATGATGGGTTTGTTGGTGGTCATTTCAAAATCGCCTGCGACCGCCGGGAGTCGTACCCGGATCAACTGCTTGGAAGGCAGCCATGATAACCGCTACACCACGGTCGCGACTCTTAACACACCTCACACTCGTTCCGCAACAACAAACACGCACTCACAAACAAACGGACACACACTGTCTCACTCACTCACTCTCTGTCACGCACGCACGCACGCACCACATCATTCACTCAGAAAACAATTGCCAACCCTACCTCTCCAACTGTGTACAGTCATCTCCGACTGTTTCGAACTAACTACCCCACTGCACGGATAGACACCACCACCTACAACGTGCCAATATCGGCAATATCGTCAACACTCTCCACTATGTGTCCAGTTGAAATGCACCACATCACAACATTGCCTGACCAAACTACACAAAGCACAATGTTCTCATGCACTCTCTCCATCGACACCAACACGTGAATTATCCGATGAGAGGAATTGTATTGGACGAGCAATCGAGGTGAAAATATCTACACATGGATGTCACAATAATCGGCAAGACATGTGAGTTGATGATCGGATGGAAACTCTCTGTTCATCTATTGCATCGTGAACAAGGCACAGTATCGAATTGAGAAGCACAATCACCATCGTTGTGAGCAATGACACAATCAGTCGGTTCTATCCTCACCTGTCTTACACACTGGTTCGTGTGTACTGCTCCACATGTGTCCTGGTGTGACTTTGTGTGTAGTACACACGTTGTCCCCTAATCCACACACAATCGCCTCATCATCGTGTGTGCATACATGCTTGCAAACATGATTGTGCACGTGATCGACCCATTCACTGAACGACACTCATA